GTTGGATGAACCAGCATGTATTACTTACTACTTCACCACGTAACAATAGCATAACGGGCATCCCTGGGAAAATAAACAAAGCAATACAACCTACCATGCATTACGTCCTAAAAGTAGAATCAAATATGGCGAGAATTTCCCAACAAAGAATGGAGAAGGCAGAAACAGCCGAATGTAGCCCATCTTTTCCGAATTAAAATAAATAGGGATACGCTGTGGATGTGGTGGGACTTGGGTGTCTAGTAACGGCCCGATAGAAACTATTGTTGCCAGGTAGGCAGGTACGCACACACGAGCGCCACAAAAGGGACAAGCTGCTCCAGCCTCCAGCGACCACACCGCCGCCGCGTTGACTCGCTGCTGCAACTGCCACCGCCTTGACACGACCGCAGCCATTTCCCCCAAGCACAGCAGTGCTCCTCTCAACGGCAACCACGCTCGAGCAGGTAACCTCAACCTATTTATCTCTTTGTGATTCGATTTTTTGCTGTTGAGCTGCTGCTGCTTGCTTCCCCGTGCTGTTCTTGTGCTTCATGCTTCTTGCTTCCCCATGCTGCCATCCCCCCAAGCCCAGCCACTCTCCTCTTCCCCACTCTGTTCTTGGCTTCGTGCTGTTGCTCAGTGTTGATTGTTGTTGCTGCTTGCTGTTAGGTAGCATGGCATCTAGGAGCGCCACCGCCTGTAACCTATCATACATGGGTGAGAGTGAAGGGCAGCCTGGTTTTGTAGATCCGAAATATCCTGTGTGGGCTTATGTTCAGAAAGTTGCACCTGCATCCTCTTCAGTCTCTAATACTAGCTTTTGATGTATTTTGCAAGTTGCAATCGCAATGACACAGGTCTGGAGGAACAATTAATTTAATTCAATCGCTGAACACTTGAAAAGGGAGACAACAAATGTGGCAGTACCGCAGTATTCTGATGTCATCTCAGTTTCTCGTTAATTTTTTGTTTTAACTCTATTATATAGCATATTTTAAAAAAATTGTCTATATGCTCGCCATATCCCCGATTGGCTGTTCTTGGAAAATGCCGTATCCCATGTCCCTGTATGCATATCTCCATGTCCATGTCTCCGTATCCGTGCTTTTTAGCTCTTTCCAATTGTTTTCTCTCAGAAAGAGGGAAGGGAAACATCATGTATAATGGTATACATACTGGTGACTGGTAACAAGGTTTCATCTTATACTCACCCATCATTTGCAACACCAGATGACATGAATTTCAGAGGGGGTAATGGATTCCCTGTAGTGACCCAAAACCTGCAAATTTTGAAGTCTGAAACTTCAGCAAGTGAAAATTCCACTTTCCAGTCTACACAGAAAAGCAGGGGAAGTGCATGATATGGAGGCTTCTCATTCAAGATTCCGACTTCAGCTTAAATAAATGCTTTCTACTGAACATAAACAGTGCATGATATGGAGGTTAACTTCTATAATGCTATTCAGAGATTCCGACTTCGGATGCCCTAATTACATTTACAAAGTTTGCTACTCCTTCAGGGGACAACTCATTTGAGATTCTGATTTATTTATTTATTTGTAGAAGCACAAATATGCACTTGTGCAAAACAACCTGGGGTGTAAAATAAGTAACTTGAATTGTGCCAAAACCTCATTTGAACTTCATGCTAACAAGAAATAAACCACCCTGTACATAAAGCCCAGCAGCAATAGGTTGGTGTTCAGTAAGCACAACATGAACTTAGCCAATCAACACTTACGGAAACATTATAGGAACCCTTAACTTAACCAGTTATAGAATGGGCATAGCAGTTCAAATAATAAATGAAAAGATATAGACGGCCTGATGCATGAATAACTTCATTCCCAAAAGTACTCCATTCTCCAGAGGAATGAAATGGCAGGTTCAATAGCATTTGTATCAAGACACTAACTTATAGTTGATCAGACACAAAAGAAGAAAGTGATCAGATTTATTTACCACAACAGGCATTCCAATTCAATAAATTAAATTGAATGGAAGTTGCTATCTGGAGCGAGCTAATCACTTTCAAAGTTCCAGTTACAATTCATTGTTAAATTCTAGTGACAAACATAATGATTAAGAAACATAAATGCACTATAAAATAACAAGTGTATATCAGATAAAAACTGAGCTAAAAAAACAAAGAGCAAGCAGGAGAAGCAAGACATACGGGTCTGCCCGACTTAGTCGGCATAATTCACAGTAGAAGTGGGGTGGAACTTCAGGGCCAACACCCTCAGTGGGCTTATCTGGAACGAGCACACAGCTCATATGTTGCCACACATGGCATCGATCATCCTCACACTGCAGAAAAGGCACAGTAAAATTCTCAAAAAGGGATGGCAGCACAAAAACTGAATTAAGTTGACAAACTATAAGAACTTTGCTTCATGTCATAGTCATCTTTTCAAGGGAAAAACAAGAGAGGAAAACAACTACAATACCTGGATCATATTATCGTTTAGCAACTTGCTATCACAAATGCAGCGGACCTTAGTCACTGGCTGTGGCTGGAAGGAGTCGTTGACTTCATCTTTAGGCCGGAATAAATCTGATCCAGTGTGGGACCTAGTGGCTAGATCGGGAGCAGATTGGATTTGCATTTTCCTGCTAATGAAAGCATAAATACCTCAAAAAGAAGCACCAATAATTTTATCTCAAGTATCTGCACTACTCTGCTACAGAGATAATTTGATAAAACAATATAATTGAACCTGTATATATCATCGACAATTTTTGCCACTGCCTCCTTTGTGAAAGAATTTTTTCTTCCCCACCCATGATGCCTTTGACCTGCAACAGGATAACAGAACAAAAACTTAGCAGGTAGTTCAGGAAAGTATAAATCATTACAACATTTGAGATGAAGAAATGTATGCCATCGAGACAAAGATAAGAACATCAAATAGGAGTAGTTAACTAGCCAGTCTACTGATCGAACAACAGAATTGGCAATCAAATACCAAAATGGAAACTAAGAAAGGGGGGTTAAGATGAACATCAGTGTGGAAAAAGAAACTTTGGCTTTAGCATAATTTAAAATGTAAGGCTATCCCGTGAAAGTGTGAAATGCAATCAATGAAGATACAGATAAGGGAAATACAAACAACAGACATGCATACCTTGCTCATCTGATAACAGTGCCAATACCCTGTCAATAAGATCCTGTGACCAGATGAGGAAACTGAATTAGATAATGAAAATATAAAATTGATAGCATTATTCAAAGGACATATTCTGCAGAGTATGGATTCTGTACTTATGAGAGGTTTGAAAAGTTTGAATCAACTGCTTTTAATTTGGAATTCTCAGGCATGCGTGTGATACCATTTTTGCTACACATACAATGTATGAAGGGTGACGTAGCAACTATATGTGTATATTTTTCAGGAAAGTAAACGGACATATTCTCACATAAAATTGTGTGCATCAAATATTTCAGCATATACATTTGTATGTGTTTTGGGTCTTTTTAATGCCTACAATTATCGTTCTGCTCACGAGGACATGCTCCCAGTCTCACCTGTCAAGTGCCCTTAGGAATTACAAGATTCTGTATTATGAAGTATAATGAACACCCGGCAAAGGAAGTTACACCATGTGATCCTCATATAATTGAAAACAAACTTCACAGAGATGGCGAAACAAACTGCAGGAAATAGTCAAGAGAGCAAGAACATTTGCCAACCTGCTTCTTTCCTTGCTTTGGTAGGCCTAACTGATGCAAGATATCTTTGAGTTCCTTTATTCGAAAGTATGCCAGTTTATCCTGCGATGGACAATGGAAAAGGTCAAAGCTAAAGTGGCCTAAAGTGGCACAAGCAACTCATTTTTGGCAAGACATGCATACAGACTAAACACTAAAGCCAAACTACCAATCTTGGGGGGCATTTCGGTACGAGTAATGCTACATCTACAAAAGGTTACTTAAAAAATTTACAGGCAAGCTGACATGGAGGATTATGATTGGTAATAGGGGGATGAAGGGGCCCACCCCAGTTGAATTCGAGGGGGGGGGGGATTAGTTTGGAAAGTTAAGTAAAACGATTGTAGATTCTTTGTAGGCCTAGCATGTTTCAGTACTCAACAGAGAGGATGATTGTGTGTGGATTTGAGCATAGTACAGCTAATCTCGCTCAAGTAATTGTCATGGATCCAAACTGAGATATCAACCCACTAGTACAACTAATCCTACTTATGCAATTGTCATGAAATACATTAATCCAAACTAGCAAACTATTTTTCCCATGTCAACAGTTAAGAGAGTCCAACTTTAAGACTAGGCCAACACGAAGGACTCCTGAAAACTTACTCCTATATGACTGTGGACACTGGACCAACCCATGTGTGACGAGTCAAGCGAGTACAAACAAGTAAAAGCACACGCTAAAGGCTCTGCTGAATTCATCGGTAGATACTTCCATTTATACCGCAGGCACTTTATTAATGCATAGAGAAAAATGTAGAACCACTCGACGTCTGAAACAACACGGCATCAAGACACACACACGGAGCTAAATTATTACAGAAACATGCCATATGAAGCATTGGCGCGCAGCAGCAATCTTCAACTTGACCCCCCTCCTGCGACAACATCCAGCCAGAGCATCGGCACGCAGCAGCGGCCTTCAGCTTCAACCCCCACCCGCCCGTGACAACCCCAGGCAGCAGGAATGGCCGCCCGCCACTCGATGCTACTGACGCCGACTAATCCACTGCCTCCTTATTAACACCAAAACCAGACTCCGAAGTACCGGCAGTCGTCCAGACACCAAAACCAGACGCATCAATCGCTACCACCAGCAGCAAACGCAGTCGTCCCGTCTAAGAGGTAGTCAAAGCGATTGAGGAGGAGGGGGGCACGGGCTCGAATTCCCCCGAGCGCATCGAATTCCTGGCGAAATCGGGGGAGATCGGGGCGAATTGGCAGCGGGGCGGGCTGGGCGGTTGTGTGCCTACCTTGCAGGTGGAAGCCAGGTCCGCCATGGCCGCCGCCGAGTGTACACGCGCCCCGTGGCACGTGGCGCCTGCCTACTCACGCGCTCCGAGTCCCCCACGCGGGCGCAACGACCATGGGCGGGGGCGCGGCTGCGGCGCCGCCCAGGGGGAGCCGGCGCCGACGGCGGCGAGATCCGGCTGGACCGGGGGGCGGGGAGGGGATGGGAATGGCGCGAGCACACCGCCAACACTTTCCTCGTCTCTTCTCTTCTCTCTCTCCCCCGCCTCTGCTTCTTCGCCCCTCTCTCTCTCTGGCCTCGTTTTGTACCGACGTGGTGCTGGTTTTCTCTCTCTCTTTCTCTCTCCTCCCCCTGGGGGGCTGCGTCGCGTGCGTGTGGGCTAGCCCGTCGACGAGGGCGCTGGTTTTCTCTCTCCTACTCGGCCACCGCGGCGGACGTATCGGCCGCTATCAAATCCGGTTTACTCCAACGGCCGTACGGGTCCGGTCCGCGCGCGGGCGGGTGCGGGGGGTTGGTCGTCGTCGTCCGCCTCGCCAGCCCACCCTCTCTTTCTCCCCCCGTCCGCGTTTCGCTGCTACGTTCACACAAGCATGGTACCCACTTGACTCGCGGAGTCTCCAAGTCCTTGCTAATGAATTGCTGGGCGCGTTGTGGACCTAGTGGTAGTATTGTTAAAAAATTACAGTACGACGACTTCCCGACTGTCTACTATAACAAGTTGTGCCCGGCTCCGGCGATGGAGGGGCGATGACGGCGGCGCGCCTTCGGATCGCTTCGGTGCTTGTAGTCGTCGCTAGGTGGTCTACGAATCTAGATGTAGTTTTTATTTCTGGTATTCGTTGTACTGCCATGATTGAAGATGAATAGATTGAAAGTTTTTCCGAAAATAATAATCATTTTGATGAGGTAGAGGGCCACCCGGTCCACGTTCAAAATGCCCACACGCATTTAAATCTATTTGACGCACATATTGTTCGTTAGGACATCTCTAATTTCAACCTGCAAATTTTCTTTCGCATCCGTTCGTTGACAGAAAAAACAGTCAGGGATACGGATGTGGAAGGACGACATCCAACCGTGTCACATACATCCGGTGTTAAGGTATATCTCTCTCTATGTAGTTTTGGTGATTGATGACAACACGTTTGCGGACTAATCATATACTTTGAGCATTTCAGAGATTTATCCTTTGGCACGAGACGATTCCTTCCCCTCGGAGTTCTAATCAAAGACGGTGTAGCTCTTTCGTTTATGTTTTGGTGGACATGTTTCGTACAGTGGCGGAGCTAGCGAGGAATGGTTGAGGGGGCAAATGGTGAAATATAATTTTTTGGAGGGGCCAAAAACTATATTTCTCTCAATTTGTAGCACCCAAAAATGAGTTCCTTCACAAAAATCCATAGGCTGGGGGGGCCATGGCCCCTGCAGCAATACAAGTAGCTCCGCCAGTGGTTTCGTAGGAGTCACCGTACTATCAAGAGGGGATCCGCTTTGATAAGGCTAGGGTGGAATCAACACATATACATCCTCTTTGCACCCCCTGAGCCTTCCCGCTTCGATGGAGCTTTCTTCTCCTTCCTTTGAGCTTGGTTTGGTCCCAGCGGTAGTACCGCTCAAGAGCCACAGGCGATAGTACCGCTACGCAGCGGTAGTACCGCCTAGGGGTCCTCAGCCGTAGTACCGCTGCGGTGCCGGACTCCTACCGCCTCGATTCGAGGGGGTCGCCTCTCATGTCGGATAGTGCGGCACTAAGCCGCGATAGTAGAAGCGGTAGTACCGCCCTACCACCGCGGCAGTACCGCACGGGGTCCAAGTCCTGCTCACTTTCTTGCCCTCCCAAATTGCATGGCAGTACCGCAAGGGGGAGTGGTAGTACCTCTGGGCCCAGTGGTAGTACCGCTGCCCCCTGCGGTAGTACCGCCCTCTGCGGAGCTGTTTTGGGGGTAACGGTTGGATTGTCCCCCCACTATAAAAGGAGGTATTCTTCCCCAAAGTTGACTTACCTCTTCCTCCCCCAAGCTCCATTGTTGCTCCAAGCTTCATTTTCGCCCGATCTCTCTCCCTAGCCAATCAAACTTATTGATTTGCTCGGGATCGGTTGAGAAGGCCCCGATCTACACTTCCACCCAGAGAAATTTGATTCTCCCCCCCCCACCAATCCCTAGCGGATCTTGTTACTCTTGGGTGTTTGAGCACCCTAGATGGTTGAGCTCACCTCGGAGCCATAGTCCATTGTGGTGAAGCTTCATGGTGTCGTTGGGAGCCTCCAATTCAGTTGTGGAGATTGCCCCAACCTTGTTTGTAAAGGTTTGGTCGCCGCCTCCAAGGGCACCAATAGTGGAATCACGGCATCTCGTATTGTGTGAGGACGTGAGGAGAATATAGTGGCCCTGGTGGCTTCTTGGGGAGCATTGTGCCTCCACACCGCTCTAACAGAGATGTACTTCCCCTTAAAAGGAAGGAACTTTGGTAACACATTCTCGTCTCCATCGGTTCCCCTTTTGGTTATCTCCCACCTTTACTTGTGCAAGCTTACTTCGTGTTGCATCTCTTGCTTGCTCCTGTGCTTGTTGTTATTTCATCATATAGGTTGCTCACCTAGTTGCATTTCTAGACAACCTACTTTGATGCAAAGTTGAAATTGGTAAAGAAAAGCTAAAAATTGTTAGTTGCCTATTCACCCCCCCCCTCTAGTCAACTATATCGATCCTTTCAATTGGTATCAGATCCTCATCTCTTTATTAAGGACTTTGTCGTCCGAAGAGTATGGTTGACATCGCAGACAGTGGGGAGGAGCACTCCGGTGTGAATCCGAGCTCGTCTACGGCCGATGGGGGAACCGCGGTCTCTCGTGAGGAATTCAATGTGGCTTTGTACACATTGAAAACCTCCATGACGACCGAGGTTGAAAGCATGTTTAATAAATTCTTAGAAGGACTTAAACTATCTACCTCGCCGATGAAAGTGGGTGATCCCACTAACAAGGTGACGAATGCTAACTCCGACAAGGGGGAAGCTAATAGTGAAAAGGGTCCTTCTACTAGTGGTAAAAATGGCACCGGCATCTTTGCCCATATGGAACCTCCAATTTATGGAGGACCGATTCCCTCTACTCATTTAAATCATGCCGGCCCTCCTCCTAAGATTGTGAAAAATGAGGACTTTGACTCTTGGGTTTACTGCTTCAAGCGTCATTTAAATCATGTGAATACTAATCTTTGGAGAATCATTGAAGAAGGTTTCTATCCACATGGCCGAAGCAGCTTCACCCCTAGAGAAGCCATGGATAATCAATTCAATGAGAATGCTCTCTTCATCATCCAAGATGCAATTCCCCCCGAAGATCTCCCTTATCTTCGACCCTACGCCATGGCCAAAGACGCATGGCATTGTGTTGTGTCTATCTATCGGGGAAGCGCAAGCATTCAACGCTCCAACTATGAAGTGGTGCAAGATGAAGCCGATGAGTTTGCAATGAAAGAAGATGAATAACCTCGTGAGCTCTTTTGAAGAGTAACCAAACTCGCAGTCTCACTCCGAGATCATGGGAGCAAGGACACGGATGACAACTGGATCAAGCGCAAGTTCCTCAAGGCCATGATGCCCTACAACAAGGCCATGTCCTCTGTCATCCGTCAAAGACCGGACTTCCACTCCATGACCTCAAATGAAGTGTTGGATGAGTTCGTGGCAATGAGCATCTTGGATAAGACCGCCGACAACGCGGTGTTGCATTCTCAAAGAACAAATAAGCCCAACCTTGCCTTGAAGGCCAAGGTTATTGTGGAAGAAGAGGAAGAAGAGGATGAGGAGGAGGGCAACCCCGAAGATACAAAATATGATTATCATGAGCACATGGCTCTTGCTTCAAGGCAATTTTGGAGCAAGAAGAACACACGACCCAACTTCAACAAGAACAACTCAAGTGGCTTCAAGGGCAAGCAATGAGTGAGAACTTGTTACAATTGTGGCAGTGTGAGCCACTTTGTTGTGGATTGTCCGTACGAGAAGCGGGAAGACAATGGTGGCAAACTCATCCGAAAAGACAAAGCCAAGTCCTTCCCCAACAAGAACAACTTCACCAAAAAGACTCCTACTCGAGGGTTGGTGGTTCAAGAAGAATACCATGAGGATGACGATGATGATGAAGATGGTGAAGTAATGGCCATGGCCTCCGTCGCCATTGCCACAACTCCCCGGGTGTCTCTCTTCGATTCACCCAACAAGAACATCACCGCCAAGTGCCTCATGGCTAAAGCCACTAACAAGGTAACCCCCAACATCAAAACCACCATCATTACTAATCCATCCTTGATGGATTGCATTGATGAAAATAAGGGGTCTAATGAAGAAACAAATGAATTTGAGTCTTTTATGAGTAAACTCAAGGGCAAATCCAAGAAGCACTTCGTTGCTCTCTTGGAACAACTTGATGAAGTCAATTACAGGATCGAGGCTCATGAAGAAACCATCTCTAAGATGGAAGGTCATAGTTGTGACTATGCCGATGAGATATCGAATCTCTATAATGCTCTTGAGGAAGAGTGTGGGTATCGTTTGGCTCTTGAGGATTCACACAATGATGACCATGCTAAATTAAAGAAAGATCTTGATCATGCTCTTGTTATCTCTCGTGTG